AAAGAAAACGGGCCTGGTGGTGCACGCCTGTAGTCCCAGAACTTGGGGGGTAGAGGCAGGCGGATCTCTGTCAGTTCAAGGCCAGCCTGGTCTACATAGTGAATTCCAGGACAGCTCGGGCTACAGGAAGACCCTGTCTCGAAAAGACCAAAGAAACCCCCAAAAACAAAAACCTTCAAAAAAATATTTAAAAAAATAATGTAAACACGTGGAAAATTGTGATTGTCTAAGACAAAAGAAGACACTAGAAATGGGACCTCACTGACTGGGATCCTCAGCTGGAATCCTGTCACTGATAGTGTTGATGTGTGCAGGAGAGGCCAGTCCTCCATGCAGACAGCCAGTGGGGTGCTGCTCATCTATGCCCCATAAAGAGCACGGGAGCACCAGGAGCCCCTCTGTTGGTTAAATGGAGGGCATCCTACGTGAGACCCTGTTCAAAGACTCTTTCATGGCTTGAGCCTTTTAGCCCCACAGAGTTCCCAAGCACTCCAGGAGTGGCTGCTACAACTAAGGAATGGGCATTTTATTGTATTCCATTTTAAGTAATATAGAAAATTCATTTAAGCCAGGCATTGGTGGCTCATGCCTATAATCCTGGCATTTGGGAAGCTGAAGCAGGAGGATGAGGAGTTGGAAACCAGCCCTGGGTACATAGTAAGACCCTTTCTCAAATGAATAAACAAATAAATAAATAGAAATACATAAACAGTGTACATGGCCAGGGCTGCAGCACTGGGCCCATGCAGCTCTGGAAATTCAGTGCATTTCAAACCACCAGCAATTTGAGGGATGAAGTCCTGCAGAGAACTGTCAGCAAGCAGCTTCACACAGTAGCTTTCAGTTCACTGAAGGTGTCTTGCAAAATAGAAATGACTGATACAATAAGAACACACAGCCAGGATGACAGAGGTGCTCACTGTGGTATCTCCAGTTCCCATAGGTAGCACCATGAGGCTGGAGCAGAGAAGCCTGGAAGAGTCTTAGTCCAATGCATCTGACCCCTTCCCTGTGCTGCCTGCCCAGATGGGTCTTTGTTCTCTAGAACCACAAGAGAAGGTGGAAGGCAGAGCTACTGTGCCACTGCAGGCTTCTAGGTCTCTGCGCCAACAGATAGAACAAGGCCTGCTGAGCACCAGCAGTAAACAAAAACACAGGAAAAAGGGGCAATGGATTTCTTCTAAGTCCCCAAAGTTACTGCTTGCCACAGAGAAGTAGTGACCACATGTGACAGACATGGGACAATGCCAACAACAACATAAGCAGGATACTGGGTCATTCTGGCTTGAGGCTGTGAAATAGCCCTGTTTCAAAAACCTGGCAGCAAATCCACAAGGAACACCACAGCCAGCATAGCCTCATACACAACCTCAAGGCTACCACAAGGTTCCCATGCTGAGGGCTTAAAGAAGGGACAGTACTGTGCCCTTACCAAGTACATCACAGCTCAGGGAGAAGGTTTAAGGCTAGAAACTAGTCCAGTCTTCCTCTAACTGCATGCCTGGAACCCTGGGGGATCTCTACTTTTCAGTCCCCTATGGCTCTGTGCTTGGGACCCTAGAGGTCCTCTGCTTCTCAGTCCTCTGTGACTATGGATCCGGAATTCCAAGGTCATCCACTTCTCAATCCCCCATGGCTATGCCTAGAACCCTGGTGTCCTCTATTTCTAATTCTTCCCAGTGCTCTATGCCTAGAACCCTGGGGATATTCTACTTCTCAGATCCTAAGGTGAGATAGCCATAGTCAAGCATAGGCCTGAAGATGTGTAGAACACCAGTTACCTACGGCTCATTATGTCTGCTCTGCGACACAGCCACAGCTCTGAAGGGTGCCAGGAGTGACTACCCAGTGTGCCTCAGATTGCCAGAATTTACTGTACCAAGGAACAGGGAGGGATTCCATCTCCATAGAGAAGTCATGGCCTCAAGGTTTCAATCTTCATAACCAGAGAAAATAATCTTGTTGCAATTTTAGATATGCAAAATTTACAAAGAAAAGATTTGTTCCCTGAAGCATTGGAGAACACAAGGTTCTCTGAGGCCTTTTGATACAAGGAACAAGGAACAGATGTGAATGTCCTAGACCTGTTACATCCTAATCAGCTACAATGACCCCACCCTCTGCTGCGTGGGAAAGGCTGAGTTCACTGACCAGAGCAGTCTGAGCAGTTTTGCTTTACACAGGTATCTGTCTACTCAGAGAACTAAAAATAAGAAGAAACGTTTGCAGTTATGCTCACTCAGCAGATTGATGGCTTCATGTCTGTGATCAGATCCCCTTTCCAGCATTGCAGGGTACACTTAGCATGTAAGGCTAAAAGTACAGGGCGGGCTCTGACGTGAGACTCAGGCTTCATGGCTAAAACTTTGAGGGGCAAGCAGGGCCTGCCCAGATACATGTCTAGCATGGGGGAGGCCAAAGTGGGGTGAGGGCACCTCCTGTGGGGTCTTTAAGCCACAGAACTGCAGGGTGGCAAAGACCTATCTCTTGCTTTCTCCTGAAATTCAGTATCCTGGTTTTCCACTGCAGGATCCTCAAGTCCAGTTGACTTACAGACCCACATAAGTTCCACTGAAAGAACCCCAGGTTCTTGAGTTGCCCTGCCACTTGGGGCACCCTGTGCCATACGCCAGTAATTCCTGCCTGGAGTGGGCTGGGGAGGCCCTGAAATGCTTCCTTAATCAGTACCAGTGCCTTACACAGGACTCTCTACACTGCTCTCATCTGTGAACACATATGTGAGGCTCAAGGGCCCACAGGGACACTCATTTGACACACATGGGGAAGGATCTGTAGGAACTTTCCCAAGTACCTTCTCTGATCCTCACCCTCAGCATCTCCATTATTACACAGTACAGCTGCTAAGGCATCCCAGTACTTGACCTGGAATCCTCCAGTCCCAACACACCCTGGTCACTCACTTCTGCCAGAGCCAAAGCCAATCTGTCAGATCTTGCTGGCCTGCTAATACTGCAGAACCACATGTGTACCGAGAGCCAGTGACAGGTGCTCAAGTAATGGGAGTAGCCCCTTGAAATGCAGAGATACATACCCCAACATACAAGGCAAGCCCTTGTGAGTGTCTTCTAAATGATTTTCACTTACCAAAAGAATACCTGAAAAACAAAAAGAAAAAAAAAAATAAAAACCTTAAAATGTTGGCTTGCTCTAACTAAAAGCATTCATGTTAAATCATTATGTTTCCCCACCAAGCAGAGCCTACTTATGAGACCAGGGGGTGTGGGGCCCAGGGTACTGCTGGGAGGACCTGCTCCTAGAAGGTCTTGCTTTGGAGAGGACCTATTGCTGGGCACTGAGCAGGCAGAACCAGGGAAGCCCAGAACCCAGCACAAGATGCCATGGAATGAGAGGATGCAACATTCACTTTTCCTATAGAAACACTGATTCTAATTAACTGCCATGGCAAATGTTATACCCTGGGACCTGAAGCTCAAGAGTGCCTGAGGTACCCTGGCAGAGATCACTGGAATAGGGGCCTATGTCAAAGGGATGTGGTATTTTTGCCACCACTGTCATTTACTGTTGAGTCATGTTGGTGCTTAGTGTTCTAGTGCTGAGGATGGAACCCAGAGCATCATACATGCTAGGTAAGCATTCTGCCACTGAGCTGCACTCCCATTGCTCCCCCCCCACTGTCCCCAACCCCTACTGACATCTTTATAAAACACAGACACCTGTTATACCATGACAGAAGACACACTGATGCATGGCACACATGGATGAGCCCTAAAACGCCATGCTGGGAGAAAAGCCAGGCACAAAGTCATGTGTCACAGGAAATACCTGGGCATTTAAATGCCACAGGTGTAACACAAATCCACAAGCAGAATGCAGTTAGTGGTCACCAGGGGCTGATGGAAGGGTGAGGCAATAGACCCTAATTCAGGTTTCTCTTAGGGTGGTGAGAATGGTTTAAACTTGGGAGCAATAGTTTTAGAACTCTGAATACATAAAACCACTGATACAATTTATTTTTGCATTGTTTTATTTGGTTTTGAGACAGAGTCTTGCAATGTACCCCAGGCTGGCCTGGAAATATCTAGCCTAGGCTGTCTTAAACTTGCAATCCTCCTGCCTTAGCCTCCCTAGTGCTGTAATTACAGGTATATAGCACCATACTCAGCTTGTACACATTAAATGGGTAGATTTTTACGGGGCATAAATTACCCCTAAATAAAGAAGAGAAATTGCTTTTAATGAAATATGATAATGAAAAGTGCCTAAGATTTGCCTTCAGACCCTCAGCATGGGGAGGACAGGGCCAGGGAGAGAGGGAATTGAGGGCTCTCCCACAACAGGTCAGCACTGGGGGCTCGCAACATGTCTGCTGTTGGGATTCTTGCTAGTCACTTTCCACCATGAAAAATTAGAACACAAAGGCCATGACACCCCAGACACTGACACCAAGGAGAGGTTTTATGGTCTGGATGTGAGATGTGCCCACAGGCTCATGTGTTTCAAAATTTGGTTCCCCAGATACAGAAACTTTGGGGTGGAGGTAGGTCACTAGGACAGGCCTTTGTGGGTTACAGCCCTGCAGCACTACTTTTGGCCTGAGCTTTTGGTCCCTAGGTTAGTGTCATATGAAAAATCCATGCCTGCAAGCTGCTGTTGCTGCTGTCAAGCCAATGCATTCACTATCCTTGTCCTGCCATGATGAACTATGCCTTCTAAACTGCGAGCCAAAAGAAATCCTCCTCTTCTGGGGGCTTCTGTTACAGCAATGAAATACAAGAGGGGAAGAGAGCTAGCAATGGGGTCTATACTCCCTGAGTGGGCTGATGGCCTGGTGGTTCTGGAACTGTATCAAATGATCCCCAGCCTGGCAGAGAGACACACTGTTCGCAGCTAAAGTAGCAATTCCAGAGCTTGCTTGTTACCCTGGATGTTGGAAGCAGGGAATACATCCCACCTGCCTTGAACATGGTGCTTCATGTCCATAGAGAAAACACTTCAATGGCCAGTGTACTTGCTTTCACATTTGCTGCTAAACTCAGAAATATCCTACCTGACAGACTCTCTACTGAGCAACAATGCTGAACAGAAAATGGGAAAGGACTTACGTTTAAAAACCATTAAGGGTAGGAACTAGGTGAAGTTCCGTGGGTAAGAGCACTTGCTGTGCAAGTATGAGAGCCTGAGTATGAATCCCTAGAATCCATGTAAAAGCTGGGCATGGATACAAGCACCTGTAATCCTAGTATTGGGGGAGAGAGTCAGATAGATCCCAGGAGTTTGCTGGCCAGCCAGCCTAGAAATTATAGGCTTCAGGTTCAGTGAGAGACCTTATCTCAAGGGAAGAAGGCCAAGAGTGATAAAGACATTCGATGTCCCCTTCTGGCCTCCACATGCACACATATGGGTATACAAAACTGCACAAACACATGTATACATGTGCATACACAGAAGAGACTATAAGAAATGAAATTACTAAAAAAAATCAAGAGAAGTTTTGCAGAAGTTTCAATACAGCATAACATCTAGGGTATGGTGTAGCTACTAACTTACTGCTCTTAGATCTACAGTGAGAACAGAAATGCATGAAAAATGTAGTTTGGCAAGGAAAAGGGTATGAACAGGGATTAAACTGATCTGTCTGGATGTCAAGTTGACAAGCGGTAGACTTGTGATGGTTCACCATAACAGTCAGCTGGATTTGGAACCACCCAGGAGACACACTCCTGGGTGCGTCTATGAGGTGTTTCTAGAGAGGTTTAACTGAGGAGGAAAGATCATTCTGAATATGGGTAGTATCATCCCATGGATTGGAGTCTGGGATAGAATAAAAAGGGGTAAAGGAGAAAGAGGACTGAACGCCAGCATTCATTCAACTGTTTCTGAAGGTGAAAGCAATATGACCTTCCACCTCATCCTCCTGCTGCTGTGACTTCCTCACCATGATAGGCTGTTTTCCTTCAAATCATAAGGCAAAAATCACTTCCCCTTTTTAAAGTTGCTTTTGTCAGGTATTCTGTCACAGCAAGGAAAAAAGTAATCAATATAGATACTGACCCCCTCATCTTCTTCCCATATGTTCATATGTACAGTGACACCCCCCCCCCCATGGCCACAGACTTCTCCAGTATGCTCTTCTGTGGTCCATAAACTCTCTGGCCTTGGCATCCCCAAGAACTCCATCAGTACTTGTAGTCCCAGAGGCCACCACCCAATGTGGCTAGCCACAGTGTGGGCTCTGGCATAAGCTGGTAAGAGTCCTCTTGGTAGAGATAGAAAGGGGATACCTCAAAGTCAAGCCCCTCCCTCCGTGTTCCACCAGCCACCTAGTGACTTCTGTCTCCACATCCCCAAACCTCACAGCTGGCAGCAAGTTCTATTCTCCAAAGAGAAAAGCCAGAGTTTGGTTGAATGGTAAGAACAGCTTCTCCCATAGTTTAAATGCTCAATGACACTGCACTGAACTAATCCGAGGCATGCTCACTCAGACACTCCAGTGGCCAGGAAATGTGTCCCTAGGGCTAGGTGACATGTGCTACTTACCAGACCTGTCCCACGTTGACCAAGGACATGTAGAGGACCCAGAGGGCAGCCATTAGAACCATGTTGGCACATCCAGTCACCAGGACGAAGCATGAGAGGCCCAGTCCAAGAAGAGCAAGCAGGTCAAGGTTGAAGTTCATGTCTGACCAGTCCAGCAACCACATGACAGTTGGAGCATAGCTCCAGGCATCCCAGCCAATCTTGCCCTGGAAATACTGCTGGACACTCCTCAGGTACAGCCTGCAGGGCAGCAGGCCCTGGTCACCAATTAGGGCCTTGTTCTGATGGAAGGCCACCAGGAAGGCCACAACTAGAAAACAGACAATGCAGAGGACATGAGTAGGATCAGGCCACCCTCTATGGGCTCAGGGAATATGAGTGGGAACTGAGGTCCTGTGAGGTCAGGGGATTCAAGTAAGAGCTAGGCCCCAATTGGGACAGGAGACAAGAGCAGAAATGAACTCCATGGGCACAAGTAGACGTGAATAGGACAAACCCCCAAGGACACAAGGGGACATGAGCAAAAACAGGCCTCCATGAGTACAGGAGACACCGAGATGAAAAGGGCCTTGGTATATAGGATGTTAAGAGGTAAAGGCTCCCATGGACATAAGGGGACATCAGCAGGAAATAGTCCCATAGACCCAAGGGGACACGTTCTAGTTTGTTTTCTGTTGCTGTGATAAACACCATGACCCAAAGCAACTTAGGGGAGGAAAAGGATTTATTTCAGCTTATGCTTCCAGGTCACAGTCCATCACTAAGTGAAGTCAGAGCAGGAACTCAAGCAGAAACCATGAAGAAGCATTACTTTTGGGCTTGCTCTCTGGCTCATGCCCAGCTAGTTTTCTTATACAGCCTAGACCCATCTGCCTAGGGATGGTACTTGCCCACAGTGGGTTGGGCCCCTGTGTATCAATTAGCAATTATGACAAAGCCCCACAAACGTGTCCACAGGCCAATATGATGAAGGCAATTTTTCAATTGAGATTCTCTCTTCCCAGGTGACTCTAACTTATGTCAGGTTGACAATAAAAACTAACCAGGACAGGATGCAAGCAGTAAATGGCCCCATGGACATAAGAAGATACAGGCAGGAAAGGCCCCCATGGGCACATCCATGTTTCTCAGACATGGCGGGGTGGGGAGGCTGTGGGGATAAGAAAGCAGCCAGGCATCCAAACTACACACAGGTAGTGATATCTCTCTCTCCGTCTCTCTCATTTCAAGATCCTGGGGGCTTATGGAACTTAACCTAGAGAAGGCATGGGGTATCTGTATCTGTTCACATGTGATACATAAACAAGTGAGCTGATACTGGTTATATAAACCAGTGCCTTGTTTTGTGTGAGCATGCAGCATTCACCATCATGGCACATCCTCTGTCAACAGTGCTGCTCCCCAGGACCAGCAGCCTGTGCCACTCACTAGGTTGTGGCTGCCCAACTCAAGTCCAGGCTTCTGAGTCCACCTCTAGGACCTGCCCCTCCACACAGTACTTTCACTTCCTTGAGATATGGACATTATGTGGGTTTGGGTTTGACTATATAGAGATCCTAAGTGGGGGGGGGGAG